GGTGCGGAACAAGTCTGTCTCTCGGCAGACTACTTCATGCGCAAGTCACAGACGATATATAAATGATTAGGTATTCATTATTCATTTAAATCTAACCGCAGAGGGGGAACAAATACTTCAGCGATTTCCGCCTACGGCCGTACTGGTGAAATTAAAGTAGGACTCACCCGCTCGGTGCCATTGCCCACCTCCTGAATCAGACTGGACATCCACCATGCGCTGCTTGATTCCGGCTTCTTGAGCGAGGACAATCGGAACTAAAAAAGCGGAAGGTTAGAAATCGATTTCTGTGGCAGTAGCAGTTGGCGAGATGTTACAAAAGGAGAGCTCTAATTTGGCCTGGGCTACACTTACGGCTTTTGATGCAGCAGTTGCGGGAACACAGGTCTTAGCTATGCCTGAGTCGTGGTCGAAGCGGCAGTCAACCTTGAAGGCGTCGCGGCTTGAGCCTAGGTTGGGATCTATCCAGTATTCTCCGGATACTGGACCCATAGGAGCCTTTGAGATCTCCATGATCTCTTGGCAGTGCCTGGCGGGGAAGCTTTGAGTACCAATGGGTCTGCGGTAATTTTTCACGGCATTGTCTAGGGTCTCCATACGGGCGTAAAGACGACGCAGTACGGTGCCGATGGCCGGTACGTTGTTGGGGAAGAGATTGGCATCTGTAAAAGGAGGCGTTTAGGAGGATATTTATATCGGTCCAAGATACGTGATCCAAGCCTGAAGACCGTCAGTTCAGCAGGATAACAATCTTCTCGAAAGACTACAGTGACGTACTACAACATTTGTAATAGGCCAAGGAGCATTGCCATATGGAATCCGCTTAATTGACCTTAATCTTTATCCTCTGAGTTTTAGGCAGTTACATGGAGACGTGATAGAAACCTTTCGTATCGTGCGTGGCTTTAACTGCGCCCTCATGTGTGATGACTTCATCCAACTAGCAACTACAGCGTATCTCTGAGACATCCCTCTAAATTACCTATGCCACAGGGTTTTCGAAGCGTCAGCACACATACAATGTGGTCCATGAAGGCGCCTTATTTTCTTCATCCTCTTTGGGGGTTGGGGAACGGGATGTATATAGTAGGGTAGTAGACAATGTCCTTGAAGACCCTATTGAAAAAGTATGTATAAAATATCCAACACAAACTATGTTACTATAAAATAGTGAGTAACATGTACACATGTATAATTTTTATCTTTAGTTGTGACCAATGCGTCGGTGGCTGCTGTCAATGCTTTCTTGTGCATATGAACGGTATCTGTTAAATAAATATATATCCGGTTTGCGTTTGAATATATATGTCGAGTTCGACATTATGACCTCTTCGGGCAGTCCGTTCCAGGCACCGATGACTCGCTGTGAAAACGAATGTCTGCGGACATCCACATGAGATAATCTACGGAGCTCTATTTAGAAATTACGAACCCTAGAGTGTGAAACTCGGCACCTTGGGCGGGGGCGAGGTTTCACCGAAATGTGTTTCGGATACGAGATTTGGTGCAGATAGATAGGACAAAAACTGAACATTAAGATCATCATTATCAGTTATTATTATGACCGTGATAGCGAATCTCCACGAAATCACACGCCCTCTGCTCAAGAGCGCCATATCTGCGGCGTAATGTCAGCCTTTCAGTCTGTCAATTTTCTCACAAATTCGTTATGTTTTACATGCACCCTTGTGCTCTGAATCCTGTCAGCTTTTGGTTGATGAATGGCATAGCTTTCGAATTCTGCATTTCATACTAATACCTTATACCAGGGGTCGGCAACCTTTTTGACTCAGAGAGCCAAGAAAGCAAATATTTGAAAATATATTTCAGTGAGAGCCATATAATATATTTTAAGATTGAATTCAATTAAATGTGAGTATAATGAGCCTCTTGATTTATTCTCTTAAATAATGTTCTTATAAAACTCATTATTAATGACACTTCTGGTGCTGCATGCATTCGCTGATGGCCTTGTAGTCTGTTTGGCAGTTGATGAGGATAAGTGTTATGCAAGCGCCAAGGCTTTCATCCGTTAGACGTGGTTTTAGGGTGGACTTGATGTATTTAAGATGGGAGAATGACTGCTCTCATGCATACGTAGATCCATACGACCCATTCGTCCTGAAATGTACGATACTCCTCATCTCTTTTTCTTTTCG